TTAACCCAGGGCTCGTGCTGACGCCAGGCGGAAGCTCAGGTAGGCTGCGGAAGCTGGAGACAGAGGGCAGAGAGAGATGACCAGGAAATAATCCATGTGGAAAGAGAGATGGAGAGGCAGAGGGGAAAGCAAGCTTCCTGGTGGYAGGGCTGGGGGATCTGTGCGGTTACCTGCTCGGATCCAGCGCATCCTGAGCATGGCGAGAGCAGAGGTCAGGCTGCTGCTGGCTCCCCGCTCTCCCCCTCTCTCATTACGTTGCCCGGCTCAGCTGGTCTGGGTCCCAGGGCTGCTGCTCGCAGGCTTTTCTGTTCCCCAGGGAAGAGTGGGAGGGACAGGGAGCAAGCTGGGAGGCTGCTGCCGCGCGGGATTTGGGTCTGCGAGGGGATTACCRAGAGGGATGGTCATGTGTTTCTGCTGTACCAGGTTCCCCAGGACCATTCTGTCACGGGCTAGCCCTGTTCTGCAAAGCACTCCACACAAAGCCTCTTACCTTCCCCGCCACACCAAGCAGGCCCAGGGACAAAGTCTCTGCTTCCCCGACTCTCCTTGGCCTAAGGGGAGCTGGGTCTGGGCACCAGCACGGGAGCAAAGCACCTGGATCTAGCTGCAGCAAAGATCTTACCGCGCTTTTCATAGAAACTCCACGGYCCTGCACTGCCTTTCACGGGTGCTTGCTCTCTGCCTTTGCTCTGCTCCCACCATACAGCTCCATAGGAGCCCTGCAGGAAAGCCTCTCCGCAGCACAGCGTCCGAGCCAAGGAAGCACTCAAGGGACACAGAAACGATGGGCCAAGCAGCATTCCTCAGCCTCTGGAAAACCAGCGTGAAACCTGGGACCCAAGAAWGCTGTTATTCTATATAATTCAAGGGAACGAGCAGCTCTGACGTGCTGGTGTTGGAAAGGTCTTCCCCATCCTTTTGCATCTGCAAGAGCGAAGAGACTCCCACCGCGAAACCCCTGAACACAAGCCCTGCAAACGGCCCCTGGACCCCCACTTAGGTCTCAACTGGTCCTATCCCAAACATACATCCATGCTGTTAAAAAAGCAGCCCRCTGTTTTACTGTGACTCTTACTCAGACTCCTTCAAATTCCTGCCCGGTCCAGCCGGGACTGAAGCTCTCTCTGCTYGGAGCAACTCTCTGGCTAATACCAGCTGCCACCAGCAGCCAGGGACCATCCGTCTCAGTGAAGATCTCCTCCACCACTAGTCAAYGGGCACTGCTCAAAGTAGGTGGTTATTCCAACTCCCTTGGGCTCACGGCTTTGCTGCTTCACATCAATAAGAATTCCACCAGGGAAGCCCTCCTCGGCTCATCCTCATCCATCGTCAAATCCCTGTGCGGATCAATGCACCAGGACAAGCAGACAGGGGGAAACGCCAAGCATTGTTCTCTGCCTTAGCCCCATCATTTCACCTTCCTGATCCAGGGAAAATGCACTTCCTCCTCTGGGGCTTCCTACACAACCCACACGTCAACGCTCCAGACTTTCCTTGCCCATTCCCTATCTCCTTGCCTATTCCCTATCTCCCGGCGTTTCCGAGTGCCCTGCTTGCCGCGTCCCCGCGCGGGGAGCTGCCCATTCCCCTGCCCCCAGGCCCCGCTCTGCACATCTTTCCCGATGCACATTCCTTAACAGCCTCTTATCTCATAAATTAGCGGAGAGAGAGAGGGATCCCAAATAGCTGAGCTCTGTCGTAACCGTTTCCCTTACGTGAGCGGTGGGCAGGGAGGAAGGTAAGGTTTCCAGAAGGATGCCAGCCAAGGGTCAGGCGCTCTCGACTCCCTCCTTTTCCTTTGATACCAAATACAAATGCTTTAGGTAAACATTCCCCATACTATAGAAGGTCCAAGCTGAGCTCCTCTGCCTTCCCTGCCAGGATCCTCAGCATCCCACGCTCTGTGCCTTCTCTAAACCTTCCCAGCTGCCTGTCATCAGCTCTCCTCACCAGGAGGTCCTGGGCACTAATCTGTTTGCTAGCTACAGTAAAAACAAACAACAAATTAATGATAATTTTCAAAATTATTATTTTCAAAATTATTATCAAGGGACTCTTGCAACTGAGGAAATCCATCAGATTGAGCCTTGCTTTCCACTGGCCGGACCRGGCAGTGAGACCTGAGGTTTTAGCAACACTCTCACCTCCAGGAAAATGTCCTGCTCCAGAGACAGATCTCGCTGCCCGTCTTCAGAGCTAGCGTAAAAGAGGATTTGGGACCAGCGCAGACACCAATGCTCTTGCACACCTCAGATAAGCCATTTAGCCTCTCACGAGTACAGCCTGCACTCCCCAAAAGTCTGCAGGCAGAGACCAGTTAATCCCTGTCTGATGCTCTGAAATACCAAGTGCTATATAGGCACCAAAGGATTACTCTTAAATATGGCGGGATTGCTTAGAGCAGACTCAAATCCGGTTTCAAGCAAAGGAAAGGGAATTCCCAAATTATMTCAGAGTTTTCAACGTACAGGAAGAAATCCCAAGTGTGAAATCTCCACTTAGATGGACGATGATCCGTGAGAAGGACACAGATTGCACTGCTAAGCAGGGCACGGCTTGAGCAYGCATTCCCCACGGAAAGGGAAGGAGCAGGCTCAGTTTAAACAAGTTATAGGATAGCAACAAATCCATTCTGCTAAGGAGTTTATCTCTGCAAATTAACATTAAGTCTAACAGGCCTATTGCTCACTATTGTATTACCCATTTAGAAATCATTCATCCTTTAGGACATAGAGATTCCAGGGCAAATTGGACTCCATGCGGTAAAGACGGCAAACTAAAGCAGCAGCCTTCACCTCTAAATAACAGAATATCAGTTCGGTTGCTTCAAAGCATTGCGATTAATGAGTGTACACCAGAGACCAGAGCCCTTTTTCTTCCCCTCTTTCTTCATGAACTGAACCAAACAGCAACCCTTCGTGTTAAAGCTCCTTCCTCAGTGCCCTCCCGCCCTCAGCAATATGCAGCGTTCAATCACACCTCAAAAGGAACATCGCTGCTCAAGGGAAATAGAGAGCCACGCTGGAGTCCACGACGAAATTAAGCATTCAGAGAAAGACGTTACGTAACTGAGCAACTAAAAGAGACCAAGAAATATCCCCCGGCCTGTTTCCCTCACTCTCTGTTTTCCCAGGGACAGAATGTTTCCAGCTCAATCCCTTCCTCGCGGAGGCAGAAACATAGACAGAAAGACAGATAGATAAAAAGGCTTAAAAAMTACGCTTTTAGAGAGCAATGAGGTAGCCTTCCTCTACACAAAAACAAGAAACACAAAGGCTAATGCCGAAATAACAAGAGGGTGTCGACTCCGCACGGACACCAGGGATGCGCACCATGCTGAGGACAGGACGCAGGTAGGACAGGACTGTGGAACTTTGTCCAAGTGTAACCCTGAAAACAAGCCGATYCCCAGAGGCCGAGAAGGAATCAAGCGGGGAGTACATGGTAAGAACCCACACAGTGAAGCTTTCCACCCTCACTAATTCCGATCCTTCTGGGAATCCAGGATCATGGCTAGAAACAACAGGAGGTGCTTTTCCCTTTGAAACAGAAGGGAGGTGTTACTGAGGCATCTCACAGATGCCACAGAGGTGAAAAGGAGAGGTAGGTAGCTTGAGCTTGCATTCAACCCAAGTCATTCCCCAGAACATCATCTGCTTGTGGCACCTTCACTGCCTTCCACAGGTCGAGGCCATTCAACCGAGCGGACTCTTCACAAACCGTGTGTGCAGAGCAGGAGCAGGCAGCACGCTCTGGAACTGGAGGAGCCCAGCGAGAGGGCGCAGAAAATTCAGCCTCGGGGCCTGACCCACGTCCACACCAGGGCAATGGGCATTAACCCAGCACACCTCTCTGCCGCTCGCGGCAGGGTCCGTTCACACGACGGAGTCTAACTAGGATAGTGCAAGCAACCACATAGGGCCCCTGCTTGACACACTCATTTCTCTTTCTCCTTCCTTTAGCACGGGAATCCGCACATCAGGAGCCTACACCAAGCTGCAAGGCTCACACAACTAAAACATCAACCCAGGAAAAAGCCCACCAGGCATCAAAGGGAACTGGGTGTGGGCTGACAGGGGAGGGCATCAGAAAAAGGGAAACAAAATCAGTGGGCAAGACAGAGAGGCAAAAGGAAGAGTGAAAGGAGTAAACAAATGCAGAGGAAACAGCAGCCCTGAGATGCTCAAGGAACAATGAGGTGCATGGATAGCAGCTGGGGGCCGCACGTTAACCCAGCTTCCCAGCTGAATGCAGCAGCTGAGCTCCACACACTCCTCTGTGAGCGACCACATCCCATTCCCACTTGACAGCCTGATTTCTCTTTAATTAATTAAAGAATTTATAATTAAGCACATTATCAAATTTGGTTGCAATAAAAGTTGCCGCCAGTTTGCACTTAAGCGATAGAGACACGAATCAACGGTCACGCGTGGCCCGTAGGCGCGCAGAGCCCTGTCTGGACAACACCGACCTACAGAAGCTGGTTAAAGGGAAGGGTTTGAGGCTCGCTGCTGAACACTAGTGCTGGAATACGGGCTACGTTCTAGCCCCAAGAAGGGCAATTCCCCCAGTGAAAGCTTGCAACAAGCGCGCAAGCACTGCAGCATTCCCAACATGCAAAAAACAAGCACAGAAGCCTCTAATCCTGAGCTAAGTAGACGGGCGGCTGGAGTTTGCTGTTTGGTGTTGTCTGTGATCCATTCCAGAAGCAGGAGCCTTCAAGGGGGCTACGCCTGCTCCGAGATGAGGCCCATAGYGGGGTCCTTGCCGGGGTACATGCTGGTGTCCAAGGAGAGCCACACGGCATTCCCAAACCCCGCTGCGCCGGCGGCTCCCGCTCGTGATCCCCGCGCCCGCGCTGCTCGGGAGGCTGCCCCCCAGTCCCGCCCAGCACCAACCCCGCTGGGAGCCGGCGGAGCGCTGGGAGCCGCTGGGTGCCGCGGCGGCGGCCGGGCCCCGCTGCCCGCCCGCGCCCCCCGAGCCGCGGGGGCGCCGCTTACCCTCGAAGAAGCGCTGCAGAGCCTCCGTCTCGTCCACCACCTCCATGGCCGAGCGCCGCGCGGCGTGGGGCTAGTGGGGGCGCCCGCAGCGGGGCATCCCCCCCGTCCCGCGGGCCGCTCGCGCTGGGGCCGCGCTGCCCTGGGCGCCGCTCAGCGCCCCGCGCCGCCGCCGCCCCCGCGGCGGGCTCCCGGTGCCGGTGCGGGCGGCGAGCGCGGCCGCCCGCTGCGCATCGGCCTCCGCCGAGCGCTGCGCTGCGCCCCGAGCCGCGCTGCGGGCGGCCCCGCTCCGCCCCGCCGTCCCGGTCCCGCCCCGCCGTCCCGGTCCCGGTCCCGCCCCGCGGTCCCGCTCGGCCCCGCTCCGCCCCGCCGTCCCGGTCCCGCTCCGCCCCGCCGTCCCGCTCCGCGCCCCGGCAGCGCCGGGCGAGGCTCCCCCCGCCAAAACGCCCCGCGTTTCGCCCAGCAAACGTGAGCCCCGAAGGGGGAACGGGAGCGCAAACACTGTCCTTAAAACGTGCCCCCTTTTCCGCTAGAAGAGGAGGGAAAAAACCCACCCCGGCGGCGGGGGGAGGACAGGCAGTTGTGTTTCCTTCCCCAGATGTGGCCACAATCAATAATAATGCCTTAAAAAAAATAACAGTACAGTATCTAAATGAAGTTACAGTTATCTCACCACAGTTAACCAAGCGCAGAGCCCCTGCCAGCCCCACACTGTGGGGCCATTCTCTTCGGGGCAGATAAAGCGCACAATGAGGTTTTGTCCATCCCCACAAACCAATTCAGAAGGGCAGATTCTCTTATATATATAAATATATTTTTCTCTCTCACACAGCTGTGCAGTGACCAATTCTTCTCTGGGGAGGGGAACGGGGAGAGGAGGGGGCTGATGTTTGGGATAGTAATAGGTCTATTATTTCAGGGTTGGAAAGAAAGAGCTCAACAGCCTTTTCTTCTTCTCCCTCTCTCTCCCTCCCTCTCTTTCTATTAAGACAATTGTTATTCTCTGTTACCCCACACCCCCGTCCCTACATACATATATCACATACACACACGCTCATCTTCCCCAGCCCCCCAGCTTCAGACACAAGCTRGGAAGGAAGCAAAACATCTCTCCGCTGAGATTTATCTTCGCCGTGGAGCCTGTAGCTAAGCCAGGTCTAAATCTGGTCAGTTCCTTTGTCTTTGTTAGATATTAGGCCTCTATCCCACAGTTAAACTCTCCCAAACGCAATAAGAAGCCAGGGCAGAATCCAAACATAACCAGGGCTAACTCTGAGGACTGTGTTTCTCTCCTCCTGCGGAGTGTGCCCAGGCATCCGGGGGAACTATTGATAAGTTTAGGAACACATTGCCCAGAGAGGTATGGAGTTTCCTTCTCTAGCGATACTCAAGCCCACGCAGACATCATCCCGTGCAATGTGCTCTAGGTGGCCCTGCTTGTGCAGGCGGGATGGACTAGCTGATCTCCACAGGTCCCTCCCAATCTCAGCCCTTCCGTGACTCTGGGATTATCCGCAGAAAAGGCCCTCTTGCCCCCCTGCCGGTCCAGCAGGGTTAGTCAGGGGACACCAGGGAAGTGGAAGCCATTCTTCAAGTCATAGGAGGAAACATAAAATTCTTTGGTGTTCCAGGGATGCAAAAAATCCGAAGATAGGTGTTAGGAGAGGGAATATCAGCCTGATCAGGCTGCCGCATTGCACTTCCACGCTCCAGGTCCTACCACGAGCGAGGCTAGGCTTGTGTTGTCTGTTCACACACACAGAAGCACACACGTGTAACGGGTATATGAGACTGGGCGCACACACCAACACGGACAAACATACTCAGCACTCCCACAMCCTGTTCCAGTGACCCTATCCTGCTGCCCTCTCTGGTTGATCAGGGGAAGGCCTGTCAGTGGRACATACATATACGCTTATGTGCAATGTGGGGCCCTCTGCTAGCTGGGCTTAGACACACTTAGTCTTCCCAGTAGCTGGTCCCTGCATCCTGCGTCTCCCTCACCCAAGTTCACARGATGGCTGAGGTTGGAAGGGACCTCTAGGGATCATCCAGTCCAACCCCCTGCTCCAGCAGGGACACCCAGAGCACGGGCCACAGGGTGACATCCAGGCRGGTTTGGAGACCTCCAGAGGAGGAGCCTCCCCAGCCTCCCTGGGCAGTCYGTGCCAGGGCTCGGGCACCCTCACAGCCAAGTTGAGCCCCTGGACGCCCGCAGCCCCACACGTGGCTGGGACCGGCCTCCTCACGGCCTCCCCTCCACCCCACAGCCTCTCAGGTCTCATTGCACCTCCCAAACAAACCTTGTCATCTCGGGCAGTTGKGCAGGAATCCCCCGATCCCACCAGTAGCCTCTAACCAGCAGCCCGACTCCAGGCTCAGGATGCTGGCGCTCAGACACACCTGCACGCAGGAAAGACTCTTTCMCACAGGAAAACAGAAGAGGAATCTGATAAGAAGGCAGAACAGACTGCGCTGATCAGGCACAGGGCCAGTCCAGCTTATTGGCCAGCGACCTGTTTAYAAGTGACAGGCCCTTTCATCCCCCTTTTGCTGTTTTCCCACATTCTTTCTTCCCCTAAGCTTGATCTCCCATTCTCCCCCTCTTGGCTTCTTCCCCCAAACATCCCATAATAGGTCAAGCAATAACTCGCTGTCTTTGGGCGACAGCACTAGGCTGGCCAGATGTATGTGCCCAGCACATCCACACGTAGGCTTGAAATGCTTCTATCCGTGTACACGTCTGACACCTTTGCCATGGTATCAGGCATTTCAGATTGCTCACAGATGTCACTCCCAAGCAGCATTCCTGCTTGTCCAAATCCGAGCAAGCCGCCTGGGAATCCCGTGCCAYGCTTCCTGCTCCCAAGCCAGTGCCCGGTGACTTAGAACAAGCCTCTTCCCTAGGCTGGGTTTATCATCTCCGTTCTTTCCCTAGTATCTGAATCAAGCCAGGTACAGATCTCCTTTGTCCCTTTCACCTTACTTGTCTTAATACATGTTTGTCTTCCTGGAATACAGCTCAGATCTCTGTCCCRAAGAGCTGGTGTTTCTGTTTCTGGACCTAATTAAGGAAGAAAGGATTGACTGGGAATACACTCCTGATGGGTGTGAGGTATGCACCCACCTCCATGCCTTTTGGACTGAAAGAGGACATTTGGTCCCTTATTGAAACCACTGCAGCAGTTAGATTTGTATAATCCCACCGCAGYGCCCTATTTGCGCCCCTTTTCCTTGTGACGTCTCCGTGCTGCCATTCCCGCTGCCTCTCTTCCTCTGGCCCCATCCTCCCCATTCCCCTCGTCTCTCCCCCGGCACACACTCACTCCCTTCCTCACTTCCCCGGGTCCCGCTCCCTGCAAACAACGACTCTCTCCGCACCGTGCGGCCAGCCGGGAGCGCGAGCCAGGGAGGGCGTGGAGGAGCATTACTCACGGAAGGTGTGGGTGCTGCTCCCTCCGGCGCTCAATTTCAAAGTCCATTTTAAAATAACAACAAAATAATTGCACTGTTCTCCCTTGCCAGCCCCAAAACCCAGCCCCCGGGCACAGTTAGGCTTTTGAGACACAGCGGTGAGACTGGTTGTTGCCTTTTTATCTTCTTGGCACCAACTGTGGACACCCCAGTCCCTGCACCAACGGGACTCCCTGGTAACTGGGAGTCGGACACCATATCCCATGGGATACTCCCAGAAAAGCTAACCCTATTCCAAGCTGGGCGAGAGGAACTAGATCTACCAAGCCAAGCCCATGTAGACACATGCACCCGCGGAGAGACTCCTGGGCTTCGCTTTTACCTACAAGCGAGGCCGGATTGTGAGAGCTGCTGAAAACAGGCAGTGGGAAAAAGAGATGATGTTTCCCTGACAGGGACCTGCTGTCCACGGATCTGGGCACACAAGTACAATTCATCCTATTTCAAACAAAACGTCTCATTAATGTGGCTAGCATGAGATTCAGCTGAGCAGAGCACAGGGGTCAAAAGATTGCTCCCAATGTGACTCTGCATTGAGCTGACCAACAGGCTGCTTATTAGTTTTTGGAGATCTGGCAATACTGAATATCTTGTATTAATAGTTTGTACAGATTATATTTTCTTAGTGTTCAAAGATATATTTCTTAGGGATCCTAAGCACATATCAGTTTAGATTTTGATCCGCAGCCCATTAAGGTCACTAGAAATTATCATTTACCTGAATTTCACTATTGTGGAAAACAAGGTGCAGCTAGGGTTTAAGCGTCCATATCAAAGGTAGCTTTACATCAGCAGTCTTCATTGCTATTCTTTGGTTTTCGCCTGTTTTCTTCAGGAAACGATGCTTACAGAATCACACTGTGCGTGCAGCTGTGCCTCGCTATCAAACTTCGGGCTGCTCTAGCCAGTCTCCTCTGCGTTTAACACAGGGGCAGGCATCTGAAAGACGCTTTTCAGAAACTCAGTTCCTAAAAGGTTTGTGAAAACAGAGGGAAGGACAAGATGATCACTGTCTCGTGAAGGCAGAAGTCATGGTGTCAGCTTCACCTCTAGCAGGCACCGAGCACTTCCCACTGCAGCAATCGGCACTACACCAGTGAGGATCTCTGCCTTTTCAATTCAACCAGGACTTGGACTTCCACCACTCCCATAACTTTCTGGGACAACTGCGTAGGGGTGAACTCACCGAAAACCCTGCAACCAATAACACCCTAAGGGACAYGGGTCCTCACAAGCTGCCGGTGTGAAGATGGACAAGGACCTGAAGGGAACATCCACAGCAGCCGGAGTGGCTCGTTTCTGCAAGGAAAAAATGCAAATGTGGGCTTGAATCTTCCCAGGGTCAATAGAAAAGACTTCTATTGTCTTTTCCTTTCTATTGCTTATACCTATTTGCTTATATATTGATATATTGCTTATATCAGCTTATACCTGTCCCAGGGTTTGTAGTCAGCTCATTCTCAGAGCTGATATATTCTGCTTAAGTGCAGAACTTGCATATTGCCCATTATTCTGCTACACAGGGCTACGAGGAAGCTTCTTTCCTTGACTCCACCCGACTTCCTTGGAAGAGTCGATGGT